AGGTAGGGTGCGAGATGGAGGTGGTAGCCAAAAGCCCAGGAGGAACATTGAGGAGCCCAGTGAGAGAAAGAAAGACTACGGCAGGTAGGCCTGCATTGGTCCTGAGGAATGACCTAAAACTATACCCTGCTGGGGTTGGATGGGGGTGGGGGGTGCCTGTGGGGGGGAAGTCTCCAGGAAATGCCATACCTGTGCCTCCCTAGTGAAAGGGGAGGATGTGGCACCAGAAAGCCTCAGACCCACTGCCTTGTGGGTGACTCTGTGGAAGGGAAAGACTAGGGGAGCACACCCTGACAAAAAGCACCAGGCTTTGGCAAAAGCACAGGGGCCAGGAGGGCCCAAGGCCCAAAGAGTGAGGGTTGGGGGACAACACAGGGGCCAAGAGGGTCTGAGGTCCAACAAGTGAGGCCTAGTGGAAAGCCTGAGTGAGAGTTAGGTCCAGGCATATTGACAGACACCTGAGGCCTGAGTAGGTCAAGTTATGGGTCCAGATATGTTAAGAGATGCCTGGGGCCTGAGTGGGCTGAAGGCTAAGAGTGGAGTACAGGCACATTGACAGATACCTGAGGCCCAAGGGATGTAAGGCCCAGAAGCCCCAGTGAGCAGGTGAAGCAGTGGCCCCAGTGAGGGGACATGTGGCCCAGGCACGTCTAAGGACACCTGAGGCCATGTTGGGCCAGAGGCCAGGCCAAGGTATATCTGAAGATGTCTGAGGCCAAGTTAGGACCAATGGCTTGTTGTGGCCCTGCATTGGGGCCAGAAGAGTTGGAAGCCAGTTTGGATGCCATCTGCAAGGCATGGGACACGGTAAAGGGAAGGTTGGAGCCATGTATTATGCCCTTGGCATCAGGGAACAAAATGGGCAGCCTTCCACATTTTTTTCCATGAGGCTTTGTTGCATCACGGCACAGCAGGTGAGTCAGGGTGGACCACCCTAGACAAGTGGGCGGCAATATTGTGACTGGCCCTGGGATGGCCCTCTCACACTTACTACTAAGTCACTAAATTGTGACTATATGCATTTACTGAATTTCTGGAACTTTTACTGAAAGATCTCCCTATGAACATCGTGACTGATTCAGTTTTCAGCTTGGAAGAGCCAAACCTTGCTCAAGAAAGAGATACAATATGGTAACAAAATGCCAATATCTCTTGGTGTGTAAATAATGCACTAAATTATTGCACCTTTTTTTCCCACATGGAACTGTGGTCTGGAGAGATGAGGTTCCAGGATCTTCATCTAGCTTGTGGGCTCCAAGATCCAACATAATCATGCAAAAGTTATGCTGCTAAGGAAGAAAAATCACCGTAGTCAACTGACTGAGGCTAGCTTCAGTGTTAATATAGAGTACATAAATGTATGGGCTATTTGGCTATTTTGGCTGGTCATTTTAAATGTATTTCAGTTTGTTATAACTACTGATGCTATTTTTAGAAGTGACAGATTGCACTGTTGGTTTTTTGCCTTGGTAGCATAAATTTTTACATTTGAACTTGCCAGGTACAGCTGCCTCTCCTGAATGAAGGTAGGATGTACAAATTTAAGAACTATGATAGGTCTCCTCCATTTGTGAAAGCCCTTATCTTCAATGTAGTATGACCTCATGGTCCCCGTTGTGGAAGTCACATTGCTAAAGATAAACAAGGGTTTTGATAAATGAAAAGCATCTGAGACCAGAAGCCTGCTGCTTTTTATTAGCTCCTTAGGAAAGGGACTTCAGGGTTTGTTAATTTTATTAAGAACTGTGTTTCTTGTGTGGACTCATTAACACTTCAGTAGAATAGCTTTTTACTGAGGACACTATCCTCACAAGAAAACTTCTGTGTTCAAGTCCAAGTCTGAAGGATATATTTGACCTTTATATGTGATAACTTTGGTCAAAAGGCATTCAATTGATTGCATGCTCCAGCCTATTAAATCTTTTTAGATGCACAACTAGAAATGGTAGATACCACAGAAGGGACCTGTGCAGCTGCACACCAATTTACTTTGAAAATTTTAGAAAAGCTCATAAATAATATAATCCTGTCATATAGTTCTTTATCTTGACAAGTGATGATATCTTGTGAACTATGGCATAGTTTATTGAGCATGGTTGTCAGTCTTAGATCACTCATCTTTTTTCTGTTTTTCAGTAAGTTGTTGCAAAATGTTGGTAACCTCAAGGAGTCAAGCTCTATTATTTCTAGTGGTTCTTGACAGAGGTAGTGAGAGGAAAATCTCATAAAAGTTGCACTGTAGGACAGTTTCTTTATATGGATGGCAGACTGGATTGGTGCAGTGTGATTTTTGACAGCTGTTTGCTCCCTCCAGTCATCTTCTATTTGAGAGGTGTAGATTTGCTATGATACCTCTTTCCTTCAGAATTATGTTTTTCAGAATTCATGTGATTACTGTATGTGTAGGGGTGGGCCTGGGGAAGATAAATGGTAGGGGAGTTCTTTTTTCTCATGGCACATCATTCAGAAAAACCTGTGTGGAATGGGAATTATACTGTTGGAAGCAGAATTATCATATTTATAGGGCTGTGTAAAGTTAAAAAAAATGAGTAGAGATGGACTCCTGCATCAATGTTCAGGTCTCACACTGTATATAAGCCATGTAATGAGTGTCCTTGAAATAAAGAAAGGGACTGCTACACATTTGACTTATGACTTAGAATAAAACTGCATTGCTTTTAATAACATCTTTCTAATAAAAATCATACTGTTGTCAGTTTTGATCCTAACAATGTGACTCATACAATTAAGAAATTGCCTATAAACATGTAATATATTTGCATAAACTATGTTGCCCACTTTGTGAATTGGAGTTCATTAATGTTTATATTTACCATGAATTAATAAACTCACAGAGAATTATACTGTTTTGCATTTATGTGAAGTGTATCGCTTCTGCACTGTTATATGTATACATAAATAAAATGGTTTTTATATCTGATTTCTGTGGAATAGGTGTGTCAAATTCATCAAGCCTTGTTGGCCCGGTGAGGCTGGAGTGGGACAAGACCTCAGGGCTGGCCTGGCAGGGTGCCAGATACAGCACCAGATCCAGCCCACATGCCAGATGTGCTGTTTGCTGCATATAGCTTCAGGGTCATTCTGAGACCCCGGGCTAGATCATATGGTTTCACAGGCCAGATTTGGCCCATGGGCAATATGTTTGACACCCCGGCTGCAGATAATCAGAAGCTAAACATCCCAAAATTCTATGGAATTTACTAACATGAAGCTGTCTCACAATATTTTCCCCCATGAGAAAGATTAAGTTTCACTTTGGAACCAGTGACATTTTCTAGCCCTTTTGGTTGTAGATTCAAGCAGAAAAAAGGAGGTCTTGGTTGTGTCCCCAGCCTTACCACTTATTCTCTGAGCTAACTAAATAATCTTATAACCTCTTTGTACTTTAAATTGGTTCTAAAACAGCTACAAACTTGCCTAACTCGCAAGGATTGTTATGTCTTATAAGCCCTACTTAAGGTTTGAGATCTTCTGGTGAAAAGAGTTATGTAAACACAATTATTGTTTTGATTTATAGAAACCAGTATGTTGTTTTGTGTGTGGGCCTTTAATGTAAAATTCCTTTAAATGTTCTGATAGTCATAATTACACTTAAGTTTAAACCTATTTCAATGCCAGTGCTGCTAAGTGTTCTACTGATGAACCACTAAGGATGTAGATTCAATAAATACACTTGTCTGATGCCTGGGACCTAATTAGCATTGATATAGTGCTTTACATCCCCAAAAGTGTTGTACAAATATTAACTAATTAATCCTCTCAAAGCCCGTGAGAGAGTAGTAAGTATTCGTTTCTTTATTTTATAAATGGAGCAACATAGAGGGAGGAGGCAGAGGTTAAATGATTTGTCCATGACCAAACAGGGATTCAGAAGCAATGCCTGAATTAGTCTCAAATTCCTTGATCTCCGTTGTTGAATGTATTTACTTTGTCTCTGTTTCATATATTTGAATGGACAGTACTCTAGGTACTGCTATTACTGTTTCTCATACATGCTCTCTTTCACTGTGCCAACAAAACAAAACACCTCGATATTATTACAAGTCCTAGATCACCAAGCCAAGTGGAAAACAAACATCTGTCATTTTGGCTGTTTTTAAGTTGAAGAGTACTATATACATGCTGTGTATTTTAGGTAATCTGGTATATCTGCTTACAAACATTAAAGATATTTTTTTTTTTTGCCCAAAACGCAAGAAATCTGTTCACTTGCCCTGTCTAACCTCAGTTTTTCATAGTTGATCTCCTTAAATTTTCTGTCTACTCCTAGAATGAAAGGGCACTTTTGTTACTGTAGAGTATTTTAATTAATTCTTATATTTTAAATGTTAAAACTTTACATTTATCTAAACTGAAAATCATCTAAATAGGGGCAAATGGTGATCAAGCCTTTACTCAGACAAGTCAGATGGAATCTGTTTTTTAAGAAGTGCATAAGATTGAAAAAAACTGTGTATACATTTGGATCCTTTTATAATAGTATCTAAAAGGACCTGGAATATTTGCATAAGACCATTTTTCTTTCTTCCATCTTGCAGTAGAAATAGCTAGATTTAAAAAGCATAATGCCATTTGGTTTTGAGTTGATGGGAATGTGAAGTATTGATGGAATGTTAAATCAAAGGAGTGGGTTCAGAACTCACATGTGAAAGTGATGAAAAGGTAAATCTTACTATTTGTTAAAATGTATTCCATAGTCCAGGTACACATTCTTGATATTAGACATAGAAAACTAAAATGAAAGTAGGTATCTAACAATGATTCTATAAATATTGATTAAAAAATAATGCAAGATATTTCTTTTCTCAAGGGTTAATAGTGTTTTTTTTTTCATGTTCTCTTCTTTCAACAGTGCTACCTAGCCACACTTGTGGAAACCCAGGAGAAATACCCAAAGGAGTACTTCATGGAACTAGGTTCAACATTGGAGACAAAATTAGATACAGCTGTGTATCAGGCTACATCCTGGAGGGCCATGCTATGCTAACGTGTATTGTGAGTCCTGGAAATGGTGCATCATGGGATTTTCCAGCTCCATTTTGCAGAGGTAAAAAATAAGAATTAATGGAGAAAAGTCATTACTGTTATTGTTAGAGGACTGTATAAGAGGTTGAGAAAACCCAGACAGTGATATTATTTTAGAATGTTTATAGATAATGCTGAAGTATTTGGTTCAACCTGTTATCTGGGGCCAGGTACAGACATTACACCTTTTCTGGTGTAAGTGATTGGAAGCTGGTCTATACCCATAACAGAACAGAAGTTCAGCACATATATTTTGGCTTAAAAATGGGAGAACGCAGTCTAAGATACCACCACCCCGGAAAGGACAAATGTGTGTTCTGTTGGCTACCAATGTAAACTACTCTGCCTACAGAAAACTGCATAACTTTATTTATTTTAAATAAAGTTAAAATAACTGTATAACTTTATTCCACTTCAGGCTTTTAGAATGTCTGTACCTACCCTCAGTGTTACTGGCAATTGCTTCTTAATATTAGTAAACCATCACTGTTTTATCTAAGGTCTAAACCTACTCAGTTCAGTAAGCAGATTTTAAAATGATGATTTCCAGCAGTTCACACAAAGTGGAATCTGAGATTCATCAGCTTCTTGTCATTTAAATAGGATTATGTCTATGGTTATATTCACTTGGGGCAACAGCTGGCAAATACTGACCAGTGTCTCTGTCATACCTGGGTAATAGAAGCGTAAATTCTCAATCCAATCCCCTCCTTTATGAATTAGTTTTTGTCAAGGCTTCCTTTGATAAAGGCTTTTATAATCTAGCTCCACAATGTAAAAATCTTACAATTGTTTCCCCCATTATATTTAATACATAAAAAGGATAAAAACTCTCTTTTACTTTAATAATAAAGAAAAAATATGGAGAAGTAAGGGAACTCAGTACACATTCTTAAAGTGACTCATGCTTTCTTAAACTGAAAGCAAGGAGATAAATCTGTTGATTACATCCCCCTTTTTAAGTATGGGAGAATATCAGTAGAACTTGTATATTCAACTATCTTTAACTTCAGGAAATTAAGTGCGAGCTTCTGTCAGCCATAGAGTAGACTGCGCCCTATCTAATGAAAACTCAGTTGAAGCTTTAACCATGCAAAGCCTTACACAAACTCTATCTCACTGGCAAAAAAGTGACTCAAACTGGTTTTCTTAGACGGGAGGACCAGGCTGTTATGCTACAGTTTTTTTTCTATCTAGCTCCTTGAATGCCTGCTCTTTCTCAGTGGCAATGACTAGGCAGCTTTATCTCCCTGCACCCCAAATCAGCATTTTCAAGGTTTAAGTCCCCTTTGATTGTGGGGTTCGGTCTGCAAAGAGTATTCTCTGCCACCTTGGATAAAGTCTTTCTCCTTGATAACACCAGATCATTTTCATAGTTCTATATTGTATTGGATTTTCTTTTTATGGCTAATTTTAAATAAAGTCATAGCAGTCAGGTGGGATAGTATCTTACAGTTAAACTGAAATAAATAGCTTCCTCCCTTTTACACACTGTGTGCATCAACATGAACAATTAATGCAAGGCAATAAACTCCAGAGCCATTTAAGTTAGAGAAAACTGCTCCCAGGTGCACTGTCTACACGTGTGCCCAGGAAAGCAGCAATTTGAGCCAGGGTTGAGTAGGACCCTGGCTGTTTGGGTTGACTGGGCACAATTTATACCCATGATCAGTCTTCACACTTGTGTTTAAGTGCAATAAATCCATCAATTTATGGCAGAGTTAATTAATTTACTGTTCCCTAATACTGGTGCATGTGTAGATTGCAGTACTTTACTGTGGAGATAATTCGTCTACTCTGCAGTAAAAAGCACAACTGGATGTATCCTCTGGTCGCATCTACATGAGACACTACGCTGCTGTAGCGACAAGCTATAGTGATGTTGTTTATTGCTACAGCAATGTAGTGTCAGCGGGCACTAACCATGACATTGCCGCTACTGTGTAGTAGCAACGAGGGTACTAATCAATGACTTGATGTCTAGTTGGCAGCCAGTATCAAGTAGAGTGCCCCAGGGGTTGGTCCTGGGGCCAGTTTTGTTCAATGTCTTCATCAACAACCTAGAAGATGGCACTCTCAGAAAGTTTTCAGATGACACCAAGCTGGGGGGATTAGTAGAGACGTTGAAGGTTATGGCTAGGATTCAGTGACCTAGACAAATTGGAGAATTAGGCCACAAGAAATCTCATGAGGTTCAACAAGGACCAGTGCAAAGTCCTGCACTTAGGACTGAACAATCCCATGCACCACTACATGCGGGGGGCTGACTCACTGGGCAGCAGCTCTACAGAAAAGGACCTGGGTGTTACAGTGGACAATAAGGTGAATATGAGCCAGTAGTGTGCCCTTGTTGCCAAGAAGGCTAATGGCATACTGGGCTGCATTGGATGATGTGTTGCCAATAGGTCAAGGAAAGTGATTCTTCCCCTCTATTCAGCACTGGTGAGGCCACATCTGTAGTACTGTGTTCAGTTTTGGGCCCCCACTACAGAAAGGATGTGGACAAATTGGAGACAGTCCAGAGGAGGGCAAAAAAAAAGGTGATGGGGCTGAGGGACATGACTTGTTAGGAAAGATTGAGGGAACTGGGATTATTTAGTCTAGAGAAAAGAAGACTGATGGGGGAATTTAATTTTAGACAACACTAAATTGAAAAGAACTGTAACAGGGATCAAGTATTGGTGAAGACATGTTACAGAACTCAGCTTGCAGGTTTAAACTTCTGTGTGATGGGCCTCTAACTCCTTAAAATTTTTGCTCCCCTCCCATTTCTCTTCTGCACAGACCCAGAGTATCTCTTGCCCCTTTCCCCACTAAAGCAATCTTCTGTGAAACCCAGAACCAGGAGCACTGATTCAGTTCCATCTTGAACTTCCTTTAAAATAAAATTATGAAGAAAATAAATTACATTTCAGAGTATTACATTTACTACACTGATTTATGAAATGTGAAAAGAACATAAAAATAACCTAATATAATGTTAAGGATCCTGTCTGACTTTACTCATTTGAGTAGAGACTGCTAACATTATGAACACAAATTGGGTTAGTTTATTTGTAAGCTTTCCCTCACACTGTGAACAAACTAATAGTGTGTGTGTATGGGGGAAATGAAAGAAAGCATTGTTGACTAAAGAAACATAATCGTTATAGGGAGAATAAAATAGGAGACAAATTAACAGATGCAGGCAGGAATATCAAGAAGGCCCAAAAGGATCGAACAGTAATTAATCAGGTTTGTGAATTAAAATGGTGATTGAAACGTATAGCAGAGAAGAATTTTCAGTTAAGGAGAATAGACATCCATTGTATGTTGAGAGAACAAGAAAATTAAGGCTAAGTACAGATATTCAGGCAGGTTAGCAAGTCATGCCTTACCAACCTGATTGCCTTCTGGGACTGGTTCTGTGGGTGCAGGGAGACCAGTGGATACTGTATACCTTGATTTTAGCAAGGCTTTTGATACAGTTTCCCACAGAATTCTCACAGGCAAGCTAAGGAAGTATGGCCTGGATAAATGGACTGTAAGGTGGATACAAAACTGTGGGGGTTAAGAGCAGCCTTCAACTACCTGAAGTGGGGTTTGAGAGAGGATGGAGCTAGACTGGTCTCAGTGATGACAGATGACAGAACAAGGAGCAATGGCCTCAAGTTGCAGCAAGGGAAGTTTAGGTTAGATATTAGGAAGAATTTTCTCACTAGGAGGGTAGTAAAACACTGGAACAGGTTACCCAGAGAGGTGGTGGAAGCTCCTCCTTGGATGTTTTCAAAACTTGGCTAGACAAAGCTTTGGCTGGGATGATCTAGTTGGGGATGGTCCTGCTTTCAGGAGGGGGTTGGACTAGATGACCTCCTGAGGTCCCTTCCAACCCTAATTTTCTATGATTCTATACCTAATGAGTTAAGGCACTCATCTATGAAACATGAAAAGTGCAGCCCAGGGACTACTGGGGCCAGCAGCTGGCTTTCCCAGCCCTGCATCTGTACTGGGAACTGTACAGAAGTTTGGGAGTTAGATAGTTCTAAAAATGTCCAACCCAATTTAAGATAGAGTCCCTCAGGTAGGGTTAACTATACAGACAAGAATTTCCTTAGTGTTTTTTTAGACTGATCTAATCTTCCCAGAATTTCTGTACGGTTCACACTGAGATCGACGTAACTAGGGGTCTAGGTTTAAGGTCCACACCTGGGTGAACTAAGTCAGATTGTGTGGCCATTTTTAATGTGATCTAACCTCCTTCTCCCCCTTTTCCCCCTGAACTTCTATACTTAGCCTAAAAGAGTTGCAAGTTATTCAACATATATAAGCTGAAAAAGCGAATTACCTCAAACATGTAATTAATTCTCCAGAAGAAAAGCTCTCAGTTTTTGATGGTTAGTTAACTTTGTGTGTCTGCACATGTATGCATGAATACACATGTGTTAGCTATGTATTTTAATTATTTATTTTGGCCTCTTCATTGCATTGGAGAGTCTTCATAGCCAGCAGGGAAAATGTACACTTTCATTGCCATATCTATGATGAGCCTATGCTGAGATGTTTCCTGCTAGTTGTTAAACCAAGGATTCATTTACTATTTCTGGGGGTGCAACAGAGATTTAAAAGAGGATGGGGGGAAAAAAGCAATGATTTTTTTTCCAGTTCAAGGACAGAAGAAAAGTGTCTTAAGGTCATTACTTTTTACAATTCTTACAAAGAAGAATAGCTTTTGCATCAGTGTGTATCCTAACACACTTAGCTAATCCTTAACTAACTTGGGTGTCTTGGTACCTGAGGTAGTAAAGGTTCTATGGTTTACTAGCTAATGTTTGTTGCTCAACCAAAGGTTAATCAAGACAAGATTTTTCTGTCCTATGAACATTTTTAATACTTCAACATTTTGCTTTAGGCAAAGCCAAGCCTAAGTGAAAACTAGAGAGAGAAGGGACACAGTTCCTGTGCCCCAGCCAAATAGCCTAGCCAGTAGTAGGAGCACTTACTTGAAATGTAGATGAAACAAATTCAGGTCCCTGATTTGAACTT